CCCCGCCGTCCCGCCACCGCAGCGCCGGTGCCGGCCGAGGGGAGAGCACCGGCCTCCGCTCCACGCGCAGGGGGAAACCCAGAGCAGGAGGCAAACGGGGGTTTGATTAACGCTTGCTCCCAACACGTGCTGTCATCGTAAGCCCCCAGGAGCACATCCCACAGCACCGCCCTTCAGACTCGCCTTGCAAATCTATCTTTGGAAAAGCAGAAAAGTCTCAATTCCCACTGGAAAGACGATGCTGGGCTTTTCTTCTCTCTCCCCTCCCCGCCCCTCACTAATATCCTCGCTCTTTTTTTTCCAAAAATGGTTAAAAATTATCTCCCTGTGCCAGACAACTTTTTTCCGCTCAGCTACTTTTGGTATTTTGGGTTGTTTAGTGGCACCGTTCTCGAGATTGAATCCATCTGTTCGCTATCCGCTAAGGGTGCTCTGGGCTCTCAGCAGAATGTCAAGTGTGCCATGGGAAAAGAGCACGAGCATCGGCTAGGCTGAAACGAGGATCAGGATTTCTTTTCGTTCCCATTCCATGTGATGCCTGGTTTAAACCGCATAGTAGAAAAGTAAAAATAAAGCAGTGAAATGGATTTGAAAAAAGTGACCACTGCTAAAAAAAATCCCTAACTACAGCCCTTGCCAAACATAAAAGTCGCAGGAATTGTATTTTTCCAGTCATTTTCAAGGAATAATTTCTAATAGAGGTGATGTTTTTATTGGCTGGGGTTCTCCTTTCTTTTCTTAACAAATAAAATAAAAACGAAATAATCTTGTGGGTGAATTTATTGTGCCTGGAAGCCAAGAGCTAATAGCACTGGCTGGAACCCAGGGAAGTGCCCAGGCATCACAGGGATAAATCACCGGGGTATTTCTCCTGGCTCCCCGCTTCCCCTGTGCCTGCAGCTGAACGCCAGGCTCGTCTCTTCTGACCCGGCCGTAATTCGTATCTGCTCGATGTCCTTTTGCGACCAAAACCCTGCTCCCGCCAGCGGCGCGGTGGCCAGGGGAGCGTCGCTGTGCCAGCGCTGGGGACGGGGCTGAGCGGGACCTGCTGCCGCGCTGCTGGCTGGGATGCGGTGAACATCCGAGGTAATTCCCCCCGCTAAGCTGTAGCATCCTCATGGATGAAAGACGAGAAACGTAACTCTGTTATTGCCGGAAACGGCAAAAATACAACAAAATACAGGGCTGCCGTTATCCGTTCTCTGCAGACCCTGGATTATATCAGGCATCAGTCTGAAACAGTAGAAGGACTGATGTTAAAAGTGGATGGAGTTAGTGTCTCGTAAAGAAGTAAAGTCTGTGATTATCTGCCCTCCAGGAACCAAGATATTTCTAAGAATACTAATCCTGCCCTGGCACTTGTTCAAGACACTGGTAGTGTTGTAAGACCAGCCTAGCTGCTCATTAAGCTGAGCCACCAGACTCCAAGCACGGATTGAGCTCTTTGGATTTAATCTCACATATTATTAACAAAAAAATCAAAGTTTTTCTATTGCCTGTCTTTTGAAAAAAAAAAATTAACAAAAATCAAAGTGGCAAGTGAAGCGGAAGAAAGCCTAAAAGGCTTACTTCAAAGCTTCAATATCAGACTCCTGAGGAAGAAAAACACAAGCTGGACCCAGATCAAAATTTGACCTAGACCTGGAGGCATTTGGATCCCTGGGCCTCAGTTTAATAGGCATGTAAGTCCTCAAATTCCCCCGGCTTCTGCTCTCAGCCCAGCTGAATCCCAGCTTGAGACTCCCACTATTTCAAGGGAGAGCTACGAAGGGCTTCGTGGATTTAAATAACATCAGAGCAAAGCCTGATCCTCGACCCGAACCGAAACCTCAGCGAGGGTCCTTGCCGAGCACGTGCCAGCGTCCCTCCGCCCCTCCCCGTCCCAGCGAGGCCACGGAGCCACCGCGCTCAAAACCCCGGAGGAAAACTTTGTGTTGTGCTTTCGGGCTGCTCCGAAACCCTGGCAACAAAACCGCATTAGGAAACAAAGCTCCGGAGGGTTTCCTGGTTCCTTTTAGCCTCTCGTTTCTCTTTGTCTTGTTTTTAACTTCTCATGGTGTCACTGTCGAATTTACAGTTTTGTTTTGTTTTTTTTTTAGAAGAAAAATCCTGAAGAATTTGAGCTCAGAGGGAAAGTTGAAAGACTCCTGTGAGTAAACATCCATCTGTTCCCTTGCATGTTCATCTGGGGTACTGGAACCGAAACCCTTCTGGGGGAGTTTGTTCTGCGGTTCCTAGATGTGCCGACGCGACGGGTAATTAATCTAGGCAGGATGTTCAGCGAGGACTGGTGGGGCTGTGCCACTCAAACGCGCTCTTAAAAAATGCAGAAAATGTACTCTTTTTTTTGCAAGGAACCTCTATGATTTCCAAACAATGCCGCTGCGTTTCGAATTGAGTGGATTTTGGTTAAAAAATTATGAAAGCGCTATGAAATTAGTACCTTGCAAAGGATTCAGCGGACGGCTGATTCCGTCAGGAAATTATTTCAACTTGTTGGTTCGTCTTTCAAATTGGATTTAGAAGACAAGCAGCTGAAGCCACTTGAAAATGGATTTACGGGCCACTTGAACTTTCTGTCGTGGATGAACCCAATTTTGTTCTACATGACAGCAAAACCTCTGTGGTATTTTACCAGCAACGGAGGCTGCTGCGCTTCGAATCCTGAACACAAAGAAATGGAAAGAGGGGGGAAAGTGAACCCATCCAGGGCAGGAAGATCCTTCTTAGAACTGACCTTTCCCCTTTCTTTATAGGAACTTTGTTATACTTCGCACTAGGAGCACTGAGTTACTTGCCTCGGAGAGTTCACAAAAACGTTGGAAAACAGCCATGAAAATCTGGGGCCCCCAGGTATAAAATCTATAAAATAACCCTTGCCCTTTACTAACACTGATAATCATAATAAATGATATCTAACGTGCCGTTAAAAATTAAAATAAATGAACTTGCTGTCAGCAGCAGGAAAGTAGACTACTACCGCAAGGCTTAGCACGCGGCAGCGCGGCGGCGCGGCGGCGGCGCGGATGACGGTGTTACTTACTTGGGACCCTGTTAATGGCTCGTAGCGGCCGAAGAACCCGGACGGTGCGGATCGCGGACAGGCTCACGTTGTGTCCGTCCAGAGAATACTCCATCATGCTGCGGGGGGAAGGAGGAGAGGTGTCAGGACGTGGGATGCTCAGTCTCTGGGCACCCCCCTGGTCGGGGCTGTTGCTGCCTGTGCGCAGAGCCCAGGCTTCCAAACCCCCCCACTGTGTGTTTGCAGCTCATAATGTGCGTCATGCTGCCAGTGGGGAATACAAGGGATATTTTAGCCTCTAAGAGACTGAAAATACCCGCACGAGCGGCGACGCTGGCAGATGTGCTCCCGGGCTAACGGGCTGCAGGCACAGGTAACGCATCGGAAAGCAGGACGTGGCACGGCACGGAGCTGCGGAGTCGGGGCCACGGAAATCGGGGCAGAGGGGGAGCCCCCAACTACCTGCTCGGCTCCCGCAGCCGTGCTGCTCTCCCTTTCCGTTACCTTACCGCGCTCCGGCTGGCGGCGCATCCGCAGCCTTGCCGGGGAGATTACTGCGCAACTCCGTACCCCTCCCCGTCAAGAAGATGCTTCTGATATTATACCCCCTGCCAGCACCCCAGCGTATTTCCACGCCAGCTTATCTCTCCCCCTCTGACAAAAATGTGAATAACCAAGCTGACCAATGATGTTAAAGTAGTTTGGTTTCCATTTTATTATTAAGAATAGGGAACATTTTCTTTTTCATGCTCCGTCTCCGTTTCACGTAAACATTCCTCTCCCAGGCTGGGAAGGATGTTAAGGCAAGTCAGTTTTCCTGCTCTTTTATAGCAATGAGTGGCAAATGTGTATAGTGTTGTTTTTTTAATGGGGTTATGGCTAGTTAGCATGGCTGTAATTACAATTTATGAGTTTGACTACAGAGAAGCACTTGTAAATATATCACAAATCTCTCACCGCGCCTGTTCAAATAACATAACAGCATCAAAAGCAACCCTGCGAGTAAGCTGTCGGATCCCACGGAGAAAGGGCTTTTGTTTCGTTTTGTTTTTAAACAAACAAACAAACAAATACGGGAGGAGGAAGGCAAACACGAGCCAAACTGCCGCGACCAGGCGCTCTAGAGGAAAGCGGTTTCCAGTTGAAGCATCCCGCAGCCAGAACGGACGAAAATCGCTACGTGCCGTCAAGAAGCAAGAGCCGAATGCATTTCAGGCAACGGCAGAGGGAGGTTTGGTTTCGGGCCAGCCTTGCCTCGTTGCCTGTGTGCCCGTGCCCACGCCCTGCTCTGCCGGAGCCACGCGCTTCATATTTGATGCCTCGCCCTGCTCTACAAAGTTGAATCGGGAATATCTCCATGTTCTGAGCTTTGCTTCTCTTCCAGCTTTGTCCTGAAGCTGTTTGGTGTAACGCTGCGGTATCACTGGCATTGCGCTGAGGTGACTTTGGCCCGTTAGCCTTAATTTGCCGTGCAGACGCTCCGGTGATTTGAGCCGCTTTTAGTGACAGCCTTCCAGAGATTTTTTTTTTTTTCTGAAGTAGTTAGTGAGTCTTTATAAATCAAAACCAACTTAAAGCTTGCACGTAGGAACTGAGCTGAACGGGATGAATAGCTTTAAAAATTAGCACGGCACGAAAACAGGTTTTAAATCTAAGGCGTGTTCATGAGCAGGAGGAGCAGAGCAGGGGAAGCAGCCCGGAGCCGCACGAAGGACCACACAGCGGGAAAGCCATCGGAAATGCCCGTTCACACCTGCCTCGAGGGGCCTGGAGCCAGCACCAGGTGTCTGCTCGGAACAGACCTCGCAAGAATAGACGAAGCATTGTTTAAAGTCCCTGGAGCGAACAGTGCCGAAGCCTGAATCTGTTGGCTGGCGCGGTCCCAACGCAGCACGCTCACAATTTATCGGGTGGCTGAGTAAGTGGATTTTAGTGTAACCGATACAGTTTTTGAACTACTAATAGCGTGTAAAAGGAGTATGAAATGCTCCACTGGGAGCTGGCTTTGTACTCCAGAGAGCACGGGCGACTATTAGCGTGTTAAAGGGCCAACTCCTGGGGCCTCGCTTTTACTTGGCCCTGGGAGTTTCAACGGAGCTGATAAAAGATGAATAATCCAGGATTTGTTGTAGGAAACGGACTTTTTGCCCCTGATACTTTGGACTTCCGTGATACTCCATTTAGGATTTGAAAGTAAATCTCAGGGGGATCTACATTGCCTACCAAAGCCAACCTGCAACACTTGATGGATTCCAGACCGGACCTTCTACAAGCAGTGAAAACAGTTGAAACCTTCATGAAAAAGTCAAAGGTTTCTTTGTCAAGGTGAAGATTGGGGTCCTGTTCTCATATCACACTTGTAAACCAAGAAATATCCTGGAAATGCCTGATGGAAACCTGCTGGAGCTGGAAATTTTGGCTCTACAGGGACGGGAGGTCTGGGTGGACCAGCATTTGGTAGGTAATTCCCTACAGCCTCTGGGAACTGAAAAAAAGAAGGCTTCTGCCTTTGCGATGTCTTCTACCCTGAACAGTTTCCAGTCCTTCACCTGTCAAGTTAAAGATGTCCAAAGCATATCATATGAGCCTGCAACATCTCCAGAGACCGGATGCACAGGAAACCTCTCTGGTTTCAGCTCTTGTGGACAACAGTCTTGGTGCTCGGGAAATGCTTTCAACTTGGCTGCTGGACAGACTGAAAGCTTGTAAGCTCCATTCGGTCTGAAATTTTCCAGGGTACATTTCTCAGGCAAGCAAAACATGAAAGGGCTTTCAGTGCTGGAACAAACTTCAGACACAATCTGTTGCTAGAGGCAGAAGATATGTTTATTTTGTAGCTTCCCTGCTTACCCTCCGCTCTCCTTGGTATACTCGCTAGGAAGCTAGATCGGCTTCTTCGAGGAGACTGAATGGGACAAAGTAGGCAGCGCTACCTATCACTTGTTTCCCTTCTTATCAGAAAAAGCCTCATCATAACTTCATCATATCCATCCACTTGCTGGAAAAGGCAATTCTTGTTATTCCAGTAGTGTGCTCCTTGCTAAAACCACGTCCAGTTTTACTGGATCGGTTGGAGAGGTGGGAGAGGTGGAGAACCCCAGCCCATCACACAGGTTCTCCTTGCCCTCCACCAGCGTTACCGGCCAGCCCAGACCAGCCTCTCTTCTGAGAGATGGGAAATAATGTCACAGGTATGGCTCAAATACACCAAAATCATCTGGAGATGGCCCAGGATCGGCCCGAGAAGGGGCTATTCCTCTTTTCATCTTCAGCCTGAGTAACGCCAGACTGGCAGCAGGGCTTCCCGTCGGGGTCTCCTGGTCCTTCTGCCGTTTTCATTCCTCTCAAACATATGCCAGCCACGGAGAGTGGGGAAATGCCCTGGAAAACTACCAAATTGACTTACCAGCCACATTCCCCCTCGCCCCAGGTGCTACGTGAACAAAAATCCTGGTGCCAAACCTGACTCTGGGGTATGAAGACAGCTCAGCCTTTCTGCTTGCACGTGCTATTTTATTCTCCCTCTTCGCTGGGATGATCTGTTTGATGATGTGGGGAGCCCCTGCTCGCCCGTCAGGAGAGCTCGTCCTGCAGGTTCAGCGTGGGGAACCACTGTCGGCACCTTGGTGATGGATAGCGGATCTCTGATCCCGAGTTCCCCCTGCAACCACAGCCTTGCTCTTCCCCTACTATTTCTGGCTTAAATTCTGCAGCAGTTTTGGAAAGAAAAAATAATTAACTGCTTTTTTGTTGTCCCTGCTGTTCTCTCCTGGGCTGTAAGCGCACACGGGTTTAAAGGAAGCCCCGCTCAGGAGATCTCATGTTTTATTCAAAACAGCAAGGCCATTCCTAATTGTATTCCAGACAAATGACATGGAGCAAAACAAAACACCATTAGTGCAGTGAAGATTGTACATCACTAATGCAAGGGTAGAAATGCCCCAACATATTACAGGAATGTTCTAATTAACCCCAGGCTGGTCATTACAAACTCAGGAATTCAGAAATAAGGCAGAGCTCTGTAATTAAAGCGGTCTATCCCTTTCTAGGGATACTAAGCAAGCCAGAGAGCCTGGGGTTTCTAAAATCCATTTATTTACAGAAAAAAGTTTTAGACTTGCCAAGCTTTTAGTCCACTCAGTTTTTCCCTATGGGTGTGATGGAACTGGTGTCAAAAGCACTCCGTTTTTCCTTATATCTGTTTACTAACACATCCTGCACAAATAAGCAGCTGTGGGAGACGGTGTTAAAATGTAAACCAAGAGAAGTTTACAGAAGGCATTTGTAATTTGGGTCAACTTCTGGCCCACTTCTTCCACTGGGATTTCAACCTTCTGAACCAGATTTTTGGGCTAGATTCTCCTTGTTTGGCCAATTTCTGCCTCTCTGCATCACTCTTATGGTGTCACACGGCAGGAGCAGGGCTGAGCTCCTGTGTGTTTTTTCCACCCGTTCTGGAGACAGCAGTCTCAACCACGAGCACTGGGACATACTGGCCGTCGCAAGGACTAAATCAGCGTGCGCTTGCTTTGACAAGAGATAACACTGGCGAAAGGATTGCTACTGAAAACCCAACGCCTTTTGCCCTGACATTCATACCCCATCCCATAATCCGGCGCAGTTGCCAGAGGTGAAACCAAACAAGACTTGTGAAACTTTGCCTTGGCTTGAGCCTGGCAGTTTTCAGAAGTTGTTATGAAAACCAGCCAGGACAACCTAGAGATCTGGCTCCCTGAGGTTTTCTTGCTTTCACCGCGAAGAGCAAATTTATGAGGCTTTGTTACTGACCCCGCCATCACGATGAAGAAGTCCAGGCGATTCCACGTATCTCCAAGGTAACACTTCTGCCCGAAGATCCCCAGAGCCACCATCTTGATGACCATCTCCACCGCAAAGAAAGCGAAAATGAAGTCGTCAAATGCCTGGAGACCAGTAAAAGATTATTACAGTCAGTTCTGCCGTGCTGTCTTATCAGGGAAAGGGCAAGCAGAGACACGAGCGCTCCCACCGCAGAGGCACTCTACACCCTGGCAGATGCTGCAAGGCAAAGCACCGGTGCCAAAGTGCTACCTACCGAACTCGGGAATAAAACCCGCGACACCCGACGGGTGACGGCAACCCCCGAGCACAGCTCCAGGGCCAGCCCACCGCCCGGGAAGCATTAGCAGCTTCCATTCACCTACTGAGAAAGACACAAAGACATCACTGTTGTACGGGCTGGGTGTTTTTCTTGGCATTTAAAGCCTATGCACTCAACAGCAGCTTGTGGTTGGGTCTGTGAGGTCCCAGCAACCTGCAGTGGAAGCTGCGTTTCCAGACTGGGCAGCTTATACCTCCTAGAAAGAATCTGTCCCATCTAACACAGGGGGATTTGCTTCACCTCTGATGCCTTCACGGATTCCCAAAGGGACCAGGTTCCTACCCACAGACCCAGAATGTGCACATCGAGCCGAGGCTGAAGGAGTAACTTTAAGGCAGTTCTGCTGCGCATGAGGAACGCCTGGAGCGGTTTGTCGCGGTGCAGAGGCTCAGGGCATCCTGCTGGCAAGCCTGTGTGCCCAACGCAGGAGCCTCTTGAAGAAGGTCAAAATTTTGGATTTTAGATTACCGTGAAAACAAGAGGAGAAAATAAAGGTGTGCAAATTAATCAACAGCTGCCCTATAGAACATGCCTCAGCCTCTACTTGAAGAATGACTTCTGTAGAGTAGTGGGGACTTGGACAGCTGTGGTTTCTCCAGTCTTCCTGGAGACTACAGGTACTTGCATGAAATGTGTCTAATACTTGAAGATACCATGAAATGGACTCTGTTGTAAATACTCCTCTATACGTTGCCTGTAAACTTGAACATCGGGAGAGACAGATTGCTTTTAAATCACGTGCAGAGGCTTTGTTGTTTCGAATGACAGACTTGATAAAGCACAGGAACTTCTCGATCTACAGACATGACTGCTGCTGTCCAAACCACTCTCTTCGTGGCCACACCGTTTGGTATCGTGTCTCTGGCACTTCCATACTGAGGCCTGAGTGGATTAATAGTAAAATTAACAGATCATCCATGTGGAAGTCACATTCCCACTGCACACGCATGTACCTCCGCACGGCTGTGTGTGAGCACCATCTTCTCTGGTTGTTGGCTTTATCAACCAACCTTTCCCTTGACAAGCTACACAGAAGTTTTGCTCCATTATTTCAGTTCATTTAATAACTGGCATCTGAACGCCTCCATGAAGGAGTTCAGGCTTTTCTACCTCATGTTCTGGCTTCCATTCCCTCCTGCAAGCTGTGACCGGGTGAGGGACAACGACGGCTTTACTTCCAGCCCTCTTCTGCCTGCAAACCCTATCCCATATCCCATAGGATAATCCTATGGTTTTTGCAAATATGCCTAATATGTTGTAATCATTCAGCTGGTATTAGAAACCGAATTCAGGGCCTGGGCTCCTTGCAGACTCTATGATTGTCTATTCTGGAGAGAACAGACCATGCAAGCCGTGCGGTTGCAACCTGATTACATTATGAAAAGAAGGAAGCAAATAACGAACATTCAATAATGTCACCTCCTCAGCCGGGCCGGATTCCCTTTGTCTGCCTGGACATTTTGGCAGGGATGGGCATTGTCCAAACAAAGTCCCATGGGGGTGAATAGATGCAGAAAATGGGCAGGCACATGGAGTGTAGCCTTCCAGGAGAGATGGGACACTTTCTGGTGGGCTCTCTGGGGGCAGCTTAGCCCACAGCTGCCCGCAGCGTGACATTTTCTGGTGCAGGAGATGGACTAGCCACCTCTGGATGCCGCTTCACACCAACCCTGAGCCTGACCCTCTGAGACGATCCCTACGCTGGATGCCTCTGGTGGCAAGTTTCTCCAAAACCGATCTCATTCCATAACTAGTGGCTTCTCAATTCACCTGGTTTACTTGGCTCTGCATTTAACAGTTTCTCTTTTAAGGTTGAAAGAGGGTTTGACGAGAAACTCTGCTATTCCTGGCATTTGCAGGCAGGCCTGGACCAATCTTTGAAAGAGGCAGGAGAGGCTGGTTGGAAGGATCCCACTGGCCTTGCCGTATGGCTGAAACGCTCAAAGGGAAGTAAAGCAGCAGATCTGTGCGGGATGCAAACGAACCAAGCCCGTTACACTACCACATGTCGGTAGTCCCTGCCTCGGTTGATGTAATGCATTAGGAACAAGGGAAGTTGGTTCCAAGCCTGAGAACGCAGTTGCTGCAGGAAGCCCAGCGCCAAGGTGCAGCCCACACACCAGATGCTGCCGGGATGTGCTTCCAAAACGAATCCCGCGGGCATATGGCAGCGAGGGGATTGCCAGGACGCAGCGAGGGATGAAGTGACAAGCGTGGTGCCCTTGGGGTGGCCAAGAAGGGTCTCTGAGCATCATACACGCATGCGTTTTCCGAAGGTCAGTTATCCTGGCACCTGGCAACGCTGCAGCTGGTGGGCTCTGCTGCAGAGGAGAGCAGGCACGGGCCCGGCCCGTGCTTTTTTGTCCATGAAGAAGGGAATGAAAGGGCAAAGTCACCGGTGCCGTACGGCACAGACCAGTCTGCAGCAATCCCAGAGGTGCCGGCAGTGAACTGGCTGGGGTGGAACCGCCTGACTGAGAGCAAGAAGTTCCCTGTGGCATTGGCCGTCCTGTAATTAAAAAGCGTTCAACACCTCCAGTGGGAGCTGGATGACCAGTTTTGAGCCCCCCACTACCCTTACTGGTTGCGTGGAGAAAGAATCTTGCTGGGGTAAGTCCAAATCAGTCAGCCTTCGGGTCTCACCTAGGGCCGTGGCAGCAGGTCTCCTCAGAGGACAGACTTTGCACTTGGAAAAACTATCCCTATGGGAAGGGCTTTCACGGCTGGATCCTGGGGAAAAGGGACAAGATGGGGGCCCCAGCTCCCGAGATGGCCAACCCACTGCACCCCACATGTCATGGGCAAGCGGGGCAGCGTGGGGTCCTTACCTCCAGGATGGTGCACCGCTCCGACTGGCACTCCACGTCCTCGCAGGGCTGGAACATGCCCAGGGTGACGCAGTTCAGGAGGATGACCAGCATGCTGACGTGCTCGAACCAGGTGAGAGGAGGGCGTTAAGGAGAGCACACGCTTCAGCGGCCATTGGGATGGGGGAAGCTGAAGCACCGCGCTATTTACACATCAAAACCCTTCATTCCTCCCGCAAGCACAAAAGAAAACACTGCCAAACATCCCAGATTTGCTAAGGTTTGAAGTTTTTGGCAACTGAGGAGAGAGCCTTAGAAAGGGTACTCCTGTTGAGATGAAGGGACAAAGGATGCCTTTCGTTTCCTACACAGCAGCAAAGTCAGAGAAGCACAACCAGGCCCATGGCTACGCTTCCTGTCTCAAGTCCTCCACACCTCCATCCTCTTCTGGACCGCGTGCATGCCCCGGGGCAGCCGAGAGCACAGCCACCTCTGTCCTCCTCCCACACCAGTTCTCATCTCCAGATCTCAAAGGGTTTTACCAGCCCATCACCCCACACCTCTGCTCGCATCACCTCTTTCACTACCAAGCTAAAGAAAGCTAGAGAAAGAAAGATGAGTTAATTCAGGCACCACCAGAAGCCCTGCTTGTGCCCGGTTCCTTGCTCCAACCAGTGAGGTTGCTCTCCTGTTTTCCATCTCCAGTCACGGGAACGGGTGCTGAATGCAGGCTACCTCCTTCCTACCCAGTTTCTAAGTCTCAAGGAGCTACAGAGTCCATCTGGAACTCTACATCATGACCGAGGACGAAGGCAAAACAAAGGCAAGCCGGCGGCACAAGCTGGTAGGGCCAAGGCTGGCGGCACGTTGGGATACGGGATGTAGCCCAGGACCCAGGGCGCACAGCACAGGGGTGAAAGGGCTCAAGGCTGGATGTCTCCAGTCGCCAAAACAAGAGACCGTACTCTCTTACGGGACCCACCAGTGCTCAGCTGCACTAACTTTAATAGTTTCAAAGCAGTAAGTGGTGATTTGCATCAGTGCAAAATAGGCCCAGAGCTTACGATTACTGCTGCTGGTATGACTATTAAAAATAATAAAAAAAAGATTTGGGGGAACTAAACAGGAGTTTCACAAATTAAGCATGAATGAGAGAACTGTTCTTACAAAAAATAATTGGAAACATCTGTTTATTCATAAACCGTTATGCTTTCAGACACACAAGCATATGTGAGCAAGAGATCACGGAGAAAGAAGCACACAGACATTATTTCCGACAACAACAATTCTCCTGCTCTGGAAACCTGAACAAAAATACCTACCATATTTATCCCAGCTGCTTTTAGAAGTATTTTATCTGGCATTTTAGCAGTTCAGCATAAGATTTATCACAGCACAAGATTAGGCAAGTGCAGGGCTGCGGTCTCAAACTACTTTTGCACACATGCTCTCATTTATCCGGATTAAAAGAAAAAAGAGAAATCAGCGGGGTCAGGTCCTGCAGCTTCCCTAAAACCTGAACCCAAACCACTTCTTGTTTTAGAGAGGGCTGTAATTTGAAAATTCAGAGCTAGGAACACCATGGAGCCCATGCTGAAGACCAGACATGTCAGACTTGGAAATCCACTTGTCTAAAATGGAAATGCATGAAATCAAATAAACAAGTGAAATAAAAACCCAGGTCACCCCGTCAGCGATGCCGGAGGAGCTGGAGCAGGCGAAGCTCCTGGCCACAGCCCCAGAGCACTCGTGCATCGCTGGAATACCAACGTCGGTTTATTTTAGTTTCTCCCTCCCTTCAATGACTTCTTTCTGATTTTTGACATCTTTAGGGGCTCTTTGGATCCCCCTCCCTTTTGCCTGATTAGCAGCAGAGTGGTAATACTGCTCCACAGAGAAAACAGCCCACATCAGACCCAAAGAAAGCCCAACCCGTGGCCGCATCCTACTTACAATATTTGTGTTGCTTGATGGGATTCATGTGCAACCCCCTGTAAACACGGCTCCTGCGCTATTCCCAAGGTGCCTGCTGTTGCATTCGTTATTATACTTGGAGATTTTTTTTTCCCCTTTCAAGCAAAAAAAATAAAAGCACGTGGATTTTGCACTGTTAAAAAAAAAATATAACTGTGCTGATGAATTAGGTCTCCTGCTTTCCCCGGAGGAGGGGAGCACACTGGCCCTGCACCTGGTTGCTCCAACCTTGCTCCTCCATCCTGCCCTGGGACACTGACCCCGGGCTCGCGCCGGCTCCATCCCCTGCGGCTCCGGCAATGGGGGAGCGTACAACCGAGGCTCTTCCCCGCCACAGGATGACACGGCTTTTGAAGCCACCATCCACCGAGGCTGCATTACTGTTCTCCATCCTGCACTCCACTGCCTGAGCCCTCGTTCCTAGCGGAACCGATCAAGATTCAGATTTTGTTTTCCATTAGAAAAACACCAACTTGTCAAAAGTGTTGGCATGGACCAGTTTTGATGGCAACGTTCAATTAAGACAGACTTTTTTGCATAAAACGCGGAAGGGTCTGTCCCCAGAAAGGCAGAGGCACAGCCCCTTGCTGAAGGGGGTCCTGGGGAGTACGGGAAGCCCTGACGGATGCCGGGGTCTCCTGCACCCCGGGCTCTTCTGGCTTCAGAGTCGGTGCCTGTTTGCTGCTCAGATCGCTCTCATCATGATACAAAATGACAAAGATTTAAAAAAGAAAATTTTCTGAGCAGAAAACCTGCCTGCCCTCCGGATCTGGCATCTGCCCCTGGTTTTTTATTTCAGTGGAGTGGCTGAAGCTGAAGATGTTTGCAGGGTAAAGCCCCCGTTCTGCTGAGCTACCCCAGACCTTTGTTCAGGCGCTCCGCTCATCAGATCGCTAAAAAACTTCTTTCTTGCTTCTAAATGATCTAATTGTGGTTTTTATGGTTAAATAATCACCTGCATGAGAAGAATTGTCACTGGAGTTGGAATGAGTGCCCCAATTCCTTTACGACCGGCAGAGCCACTGCCATCCCCTGTCCATTTAACACCAAAGCCGAATTCAGTGTCTTTCAGGATGTCGGAAGAGTTGTTTGAATTTTCTAACAGGAAGAAGAAAGGTTCTCCTGTAGCTCTGTGGGCACAGATGTTTCGAGGTTGTCAGCGTAGTCAGCAAGGGTCAGCCGCAGCCGTGAGATGGAAAAGGCAACGCCGCCGCACGTAGGGAGAAAAGAGACAAAAGAAAACTTGTGCTGCCTTTGAAGAAAAGGCTGAAAAGGTGGAAGAAAATGCACTGTAGGGAACAGTTTTGCTTTGGCTGGAGAACAGACTGCAGAAGGGAGAAGGAAGCCCCTGCTCAGGGCTTGGATGTTTCCCAGGGATATTCCTCTCCTCCCTCATTCCAGGGCCTTTCCCGAGGGGATGGGGCTGGAGGGGGCTGAGCCAAATGGGCCTGTCCCTGCCCAGCCCCTCCAGCCCACCTTCTCCTCCTCTGCCTGCGGCTCCCTCAAAGGCATTAAGCTGCTGCTCTATTTATTTTCACGTCAGATTAATGACAGTGAAATCCCTATTTCGAAAGCGGGATTACCCCGAGTGCTCTGCCCCGGTGGGACTCATCCTCTGTCCCTCCAGTGCACAGGTATTCCAGGGAATTTCAGCTCGCTCCCCATCTCTGTGCTCCTGCCTCCAGAGGAGCCCCAAAGCGGTGATTTAACCCCTGCCCGCTGCTCCTCCGGAGTCCCCCAGAGCCTTAGGGGGGGCGTAAGCCCCCGGCAGCCACGCGGAGATGCCCCAAAGCAAGTCCCCTGGGCAGTGGGAGGTGATGCTGCTGAGCAGGGTGGGATTACAGAGCGCATCTCTTCACAGCAAACTCCCCACAGAGCCTGGGCCAGTTCGAAACGCCCGGCAAGAAAGGAAATCCCCGTTCTGATAACGACGGGAAAATATCCAGAAGAGAAAAAGGAGAGAGGAAAAGGTGAAAAAAGTCCGAGACCAGCCTTACACCGAGCGTGTGCCAGCACAGAGAGCAAAGACGTGGCCGCAGACAGAAGTCCCGTGGCACAGAACGGCCTCGTGGGCGAGCCCGCGGCGTTGCGCACGCCCTGCCCGGCTTTTTCGCAGCCAGGAGGCCGAGG